GCCCTGCTCGCTGTAACTAGGCTGGGGGCTGCTCTGTGGGGCATCTCTGAGGGGTATGAAAGCATTAATGACTCATAGGACCTTCTGTGGTTTCCAGGAGGTTCTGGTGGCCAGAGAGAGGCTGCGTGACATGTGTGTGGGCTGGAGTCCCTTGTAAACATTACGTTTCAACCCCCATTCTGTGCTGGGCTTTTGCCAGAGTTGCTTGGATGGAGAAGCAGGGGTGTGAGTGCATTTCCCCCATTCCTGTGCCAGGCTGGCCTCTATGAGGGCACAGATCGCAAGGAGATGTCCCCGAACTGGTCTTAGCCCTTGAGCAAGCACCGCCCTGGCCAAGATGCCTGGGGAGGTGGCTGGGCCCAGTTCAGAGCTGTGGTCCGTAGACTCTGGGAGCCGCCTGTGCCCAGATCTGGGGTCACGGCTGAGACCTGAGGCTGTAGCAGCTGGTGACCCAGCCTGAGACGTGGTGGTGGCAGGCTCCATGATGGGTGGGAAGGAGCGTTGAAACTCGCACTGCCCTCCGTGACCTCCTTCCCTGGCTTTTCCCCATGGTGCCCTGATGTCCCATCTCTTCATGACACTTCACATCATGACACTTGTGCTTGCAACTTCCATGTTAGCATGTTATTTTAAAAACCGTTAAAAAGGCGCTGCTTTTGGTGAATGTGCTCAGGAAAACTACGTCCCCAACCCCGCCTGCTTCGTCACATTCCCAGTAACTGTTATTTGGGTGTTTGATTACATTTGCAAATGAAGTGGCTGGGGAGGAAAGACGTCTCCCCTCCCCTCCCCTTTCCTCTATTTATAGAGCCCTGTTTTAGGAGCTGGACAGAAGCGGTGAGCATTACAAGCAAAGCCCTGTTCTCATGGAGTTTGCATTCTAGTGGAGGGATGAATGAACACAAAATATGAACACAAAATAGACAAGGTAATTCTCATCTGGGACCAGTGCCATCGGGAGCTTGGTGAGAGGAAAGAGGAGGCTTCTTGTCGGGAGAACTGAGGGACCAGGAGAACCCATGGGAAGACCTGGGAGAGCACCCTGAGCAGTGCCCAGTGGACAGAGGACAGGTTGAGAAGGAGCTGGCCTGTCTGCAGAACTGAAGTAAGACTGAGCCTGTGGCTGGAGGGAGGGAGGGAGGGAGGGAGAGACCCAGAAGATCGGCCAGGGGGAGCAGCATCGTAGAGTGCCCCGGGGAATCATGCAGGGTGTTAAGCAGTGCTCAGAGGAG